AAAACATTTTCTTTAGCGTGCCAACGTTTCGATCTGTATTGAGATCATCTTCAGGGCTCAAAGTGTTGGTTTTCTGCGTAATTGTGCCATTCTTGCGTATCGTGTTGAGAGTACCCACACGCAAGAATGGCACAATTACGCTGGAAACCAACACTTTGAGCCCTGAAGATGATCTCAATAAAGATCGAAACGTTGGCACGATAAAATATTTTTCTGAAACCTACATCACACCAGACCTTGCACTACCATGCATCTCACGATTTCCGAATAATCAATATAATTTATAATTAATTTACTTACTTTAGAGTTCTACCATAGTGTTTGGGTGCCGTTTGTCATACATAAGTCATACGTCCAACCACTCTTTGGGTATCGCGGACAAAAGATCAAACAACTTCACAGTACTTTTACAAATTAATTTCAAAGAAAATTCCAATGGCTACGCCACGATTCGAACTCAGAACCGCTAGCGAGGCAAATAGTTGGAAAAATATAGCTTAAAAAAGATTTTCTTCATAAGGCACAACAAAGACAGGAAAAACATCTTTTTAAAAACTATTTTATTTTGGCTTAAAAAATATAATTTATATTTAGTTTATTAGTTGTTCCATTGTTTTTCTTTTGGATGGATTTTATGTATGATATCGGAACTATAGCCAATTAAATTTTTGTCAACTTAAAACTACACTGACTCTATTGTAATTTAACACCAAATTACTTTTTTTTAGCACATATTTATGGAAACATTGGATATGGCTTTAGAACGAATAATAAAAACAAGCAAATTAGTTATTTTACAAGGGAATGGATACAGAAAAAGCTAAGCAGAGCTCCAAGCTAAACCGATTATATCTTTCAGCTATAACTTTTCCGCACTTAATTTATGAATATGACGACTTACTTCTCCAACACTGTCAGGAATTAAGCAAAAAATAAAATTTATCGTCAAGTCGATTAAAGTTGAATTGAATACTTAAAATGAGGGATTTTCCTGTTGCTAACAAGTGTGTGAAGTTTGTAAAAACCCAATTTGGGTCTCTTCACTCGGAGTGTCAGAATTTGTCCGATAAACCTATTTCCTGAATCTCAACGGAAATCAAGAAACGATTTATACAAACTTTTCAACAGAGGTTCAACGCAGTATGGAACATTAAGTCAACATTTTTAGATAACAACTCTTGGTGAAATGGTTTGTTTCTTCTTTTTCTATTTCTTTGTTAAATTACAACAATTTGATTCCTCTTATTGTGGTGATAGGCCAACAGTAAATTTCGAAAAGCGATTATGGCCTGATTGATGTAAGATGAACTTCAATTCACTGTGGTAATCCCTACATCATCAAAGGAATGGGTGGCAACTCGAGCTATATGCGGTCGAGCATTACGCATTAACCCGACATGGTCCCCAATAAATGAAGCGAATGGGACCACAGGTTCCAGAAGAACTTCCTCAATGCAATCTTAGTGCAAGATCCAATCTGATAATCAGTTCAGGACAGGCATGGATGTTAATTCCACCCCATACCGTAGCTGTCTTTCAAAAGGTCAAACTCACGCATGGTACATGAAGCAAATCGTTCTCCACTCTTATCCACACACGGACCCGGTGATTGCCAGGAAACAAACTGGCATTCTTTTCTGAAGCAGCTCCCCATTGTTCAAGTATTCAAGCGTGATGATTTGCGAAGAGTCGCCTTTTCTACTCGATGCCTCTCCAGTTGTAAGAACCTTATCCTTAACCTTTTTTCACAAAGCCTTCTGATGACTGTTTTTGACCTCACGCTTACATTTCAGGCTGTTTGAAGTTGACTACTTATCAATAAATTAGTTAAATGACGATTCCGTAGTGAGGTAAGAGCAATAAAACGATAGTCTACCACTACCTTCTCTTCAATGGAGACTTCCAGTGGCTCTAAACCGCTATAGACCATCGTGATGGTAGAGCGCGGCAACCCAGGACTTGGGCTATGCAACGTACAAGCAAATAAAAGTGTCCGGGTTTTATCTTTGAGTGTTTTGTAAAGGATGTTAATTTTTTAACAAAAATATACTGATGATTATTTTACATACAGACAGAATACATGTTCACCTCTGTTCACTGTTTGTACCTGCATTTATAAACGCTTTATGCTCAATTTTATATCTGATTTGTCATTGTTAATAATTATTTATTGTAGACTGCAAGATTGGCTTTATTTATATGCACTTATATTTTTTCTGCAATGATTTCTCATTTGGTATATAAAATTGTTTTCGACAGTCCGACCCGTTGCTTTTAGAAAAACCGGCCAAGCCATGGAGAAATAGAACCGCAAGTAATGAGCAGTGTTAAAACCGTGGTTCTTTAAAGTCGAGATTCCGCGAGATACCAGAAGCGAAAGGTCAGAACGAGCAAAGCCCGCCGGGGCCGAGAAATAGCCCATCAACCAACCGCATAAGCCCGTCGGGGATTCGTGAAGTAAACATAAATGAGAAAACGTCCTAAATTAACGATTTACCATTTGGCGGTTGGTGTTTTATAAATGATAATTGACTGACTTCTTGTAGATACCGTTAAAAAGGCTCGCTCGTTTATAGTAATCGGATATATTTAGTTTTAAGTTAGCTTAATGATATTCATTTCGAACAAAGGCCGTTGTTATTAAATAGATCATCTGTGTTTCACAGATCGATGAGATTTTGAAGGTAACAATAACTAAAATACACGTATTATATGAAACCACGCAAAGCATTCAATCTGTTGACAGGAGGTCTCGGTGCCATCGTTTATTGAGACGACAGGGTTCTTGATACAGAAAATAGTAGAAAGGTTGTATGGTTGAACTGTATGGTTAGAAATGGTAGGAAGATTGGAGTGAAACTTTAAAAAATGGGTCATTTTGGTTAAGGTCAATGTAGGAAAAGGAGGTTAGAAACATAGTAATATCATCCGGCAGCAAGATAAAAATCGATCCACGGCCAGGCAAAAGTGACATACCTGTGCAAGGATTCACTTTTTCTGGTTCATCATTCGGAAATGCTTGACAAACTCAAGAATGGTAAAAGTGTTATTCTAGTTGCACCAAAGATTACTTTATTTTAAATTTATGCAACCAAATTTCGCGAGGTGGTTTCATAAAGCCCAGGCTACATTCTAATCAAGCTATTTGCAGTACCTATATAAATTTAGCATAGTCAATTCAAGATCTGATGAAATAGGGTCAATGATTTGTCTGGGTTATAAGTTCCTTTTACCTTCCCCTCCCCCATTGCTTTGGCAGAGGCTTTCTGGGTTACTGAAATAGTCCGCTAGAGCATTATTATGTTCATGATGCTGTCCATCCTAATTTTGTGGAACAATATAAGCTGATGGGTAGGAAATAAATGGAAATAAATTGTCTTTTCCACAATAGGCATTTATTTCGAAAAAAGTCACTGAAGATGGTCTATATTAAACCGAAACGCGCTTGACGAAATAAACACCTATTGTGAAAAAGACTATTTATTTCCTACCCATCAGTTTATCTTGTTCTTGGGATATCACAGTTTATAGATGATGTTTTTGTAAAGTAATAGAACACTCAGTGTAAAAGAATATAAGATAAATTTGGCTTAGCGTAAAGTGGGTCCGCATGTTATCTCGGGTCGACTCGCCTCCAGAGCTACTATGTAATAAATCCATAAATGCATATCTTTTTTTGATTTTGTCATTAATGAATAGCTACCAGAAGCCAAAGAAACGAAATGTTTGGAAACCGCCTAGTAAGATCGATGGGTACATTCTCTTTCCTTATTAGTCCATGCCATTTGACCATAAAAGAAAGAACACAGCTGAGCGTAGGAGTTGTGGGTACGGTCTACGGTACCGGCACTGACGATGACTCACGTCGGACGTCATGAATCTTCGACAAAAATTATTCAAATAACTCCTCCCACGCCTAAATACAAAACTCCGTCCGGCTCCTTCCGATTTGGATTCAGGTAAACGGACAGAAACTAAGTATGCATGCATTCGTTTTTAATAAAATCTGACCAGTGAGTTTTTGAACAGGTGTTATCACTGATAATAAAATTTTATAACAGGTAAAAGATTCACCAGTGGTCTGATCAATTAGAGGAAATATGTTGGTAGGGAGTCAGGCACACTGTATTCTTTAGAAGTAAAAGAAAGTATGCTTGATAGAAAGAAATTTAGACGTTAGATTTCTTGACAGGCACAACAGAACCAACAGGCATGTAAAAGCATGATGAGCGATTTGAAAAAAATACTCCACATCATTTCTAAATGTTTTTGGTTAAACTGGACGGTGGATTACCTCGAACATTTTGATCATAGGGTGTTGTCAGACGCATTTCATATGGACTTCGAGGGCAAACCAGCTAAGTTTAAAAAATTTTTTACTTCAATTGTTTTAGTTCTTGTCCAATTTCCTATTACCTTCCCTACCCTTTCTTACCCTTTTCCTTTTCCCTTCCCCTCACCCACTGCTTTGGTAGAGTGCTAGAGGCTTCCTGGGTTACTGAATCCGCACCCCTCAGGCAAAGGGTGCATCAGTAGGGGGTTCGTACGAACTCCCAGGTGGGCGACCAACCCCACCTTAAAAATAATACTGAACCACAGGAATAGAGTATCCAAGCGGCTCTACTAATTGAGGTTGGACTCGTGGTAGTCGTGGTTTGTAAACAAATTGTACCTTAGCTGGAGGGTACCGGCCAACCGGAGCGGAGATAGAGTGCTTTTTCTATCTCTCCGAGGGTGGTGAAACCACAAAACTACCTTTTTCAAGGCACATGCATGGATGTACCCTTTTCAGGGCACTTCTGAACTCGATTAGCATTGCACCACCTCGTTAGCCAAGGGATGTGACAAGTCTATGCATGTAAAATCTTCCTAGTGTTCTCCTCACTGGGCGTCTGAGAAGTCCCCCCGGACGTTAAAGATCCTCTTGGGTCTCAACACCCATGAGTAAGATGGGAACATCTATCCACGTTTCGTCGCATTCTGGATGTATTTTGACATACCTGTTTCAGATCAATCGTGACGGTCACTCTTTGGTTGTGATGGCCATTGTGAAGTGTGGAGCTCTGCCACCAGGTATCAGAATCGTGGTCGATGGCGTATTCAGGCGGATGGCGTTTGTCGTGGCTCTTGGCGTCGCAAACACCGCACTGCAGATCACGCGGCCTTGTTCCCCTGCTCAACTTGCAGAACGTCTCTGGCCCCTGCTCCCCGCAAGTCCCGTTCGACCATATCGAACCCCGGACAGCGAGGTCCACCGGCTCCGGGAACAGGCCTCCTAGAAAAACACACAAGCATTTCAGAAATATCTAATGATTTTAGTTTAAAACTATTACAAATACACTTCACCCACTAAGAAATCATGTATTCCCCCAGAGCTCATGAATAGGAAAAGACAATGTCAACTCTATTCGGATACCAGGTCACTGGATGACCCTTATGGAGATTTAAAGGCAGAAATTAAACGCAATGTTTGGCTATCTTGAAAAAAAAATTGGAACAACAACTTAAGATAGATTATTATCATTAAATTAATAATTAACTTATAAAAGCAGGCTAGTGGAAACTGCGCTGAGAAGAATAAAGAATACTCGAGTAGTCCGGGGGAGTGAATGTTACCAGACTTCTATGTTTATATCGAGTGTCGTGTTTATGTTAATTTATGGAATGAATATAATTTATTAGCGTAAAAGGAAGGTGTTGTTTAACCCCGCCCGAGGAATACCGAGTACTCTGGGCTGAGTGTGTGATGTCTGGGGTGTAAAGGTAAGTTATTAGCGAGAATGGAGTCGGTACGACCCCACCACGAAGACTATCGAGTCTTCTGGGGAAGTGAATGTGACCAGACAGCTACGTTTGTGGTTATGCATACATATATTGTATGTTTTATAACCACTCTGTGACAACATGGGACACAAACGAGCGGCTAGCATTTTAGGATATCGACGTAGTTTTTACATATTCACAGATAGAGACGCTTAACCGACTGCAGGTTGGGGGAAAAAAAACGCCTTAAAGACCACCAAAAAAAGTACGAACACGCAGGGCCGGCGATGACCTAATCTGTTTGTTGTCCCCTAAACTTCCCACATTATTATTATGATAGATATATATTTATGGATTAATTTGCATGCTAAATACAATTCACATTTATGAGAAATTATAAAGAATTTAACTTCCATTTAATTTTTAGATAATGACATTACATAAAGTTTGAAGCATTGTTTGATTAAAGATAGGAACGGTAAATCGATGTTTTCCTTTCATTTAATGAGATTCCAGGATACAAGGAATGAAGGGAATGAACAAGCAGATAAACTGGCCATTGGAGACCCAGGACCTATCGGGATAACAAGGTCAAACCTAGGTTACACTGCCAAAGAAATCGCCATGGTCCTAAAAGCGTTACCACGACAAAACGTCACATTGGTGTAGAAATCCAAAACCTGAGAAAACATATAATCTTAACTGAAATGCATGCTATTAATTCTTGTGACTTACAAAATCTTAAAATAGTTAAACTGACAAAATATTCTCATAATATCAGACAGCCAAGCAGTCCTAAAAGCTCTAACACGTCAAAATGTCCCGCTCAAAATAGTCAGTGAATTTGTTCGAAACCTCCAAAAGCTGGTAAACATAATATCTCGGGTATCGGGGCACAAAGGAATTTTTGTGTAATGAACTAGTAGGCAAAAGGCCACTGGAGAAACTTTAAGGATAATTATTGTACGACCTGAACAGATAGAAAGAACAAGATCAAACCTCTCAGAATGGTGAGAAGTCAGCGAAAAAGAAGGAATGGAAGAAACCTAGGGTGTCAGACGTGGTAACTATGGTTAAAGAACCCCACCAAACTTGACAAATGCGTTGCTACAGTTACAGTCAAACTCGACGGAATGATAAGACTCTATAGAAATAGTAAAGATGGGGTGAATATGTAAATACCTTTTTTTTAAACGATGGTTCTACTCACTGAATTTAATTAGTGTTAAAGTGGCAAGATTCTAAATTAGTCACTATCTGCCTTCAACAAAAGCCTCATTTGTTGCTATGCAATGAGGAGGAAGAAACCATGGACCGACCTAGGTCATCAAGAAGATCCAACAAAGAAAACTGCAGAAATGATAGTCAATGATTTACTACTTCTTAAAAGAATGATCAAGTCAATTGAAATGAGCTGAACAGCTAGGAAAAGTACAATAAGCCAGTTGTGCTTGAGAAATACAAAAGCTTCCTAGTTTCCTCTTTATTTTTTTATATTTTATTCAAAGGCAGTAACCACACGGGGTTATATTTGCATTAAAACTGTACTAGAGGCCGGCAGATGGCTGAATGAGGGGCCGGGCAACTTCTTTCTAGTACTTGGCGGTGTCAAGGTACACGAGCTGTGAAACTTCCACAACGCCAACAAATCTGAGGCTTGCATCGGAGCCCGGAGGTCAGGTCATATGCAGGTCTGCGCCACCTGCTCTTCAATAAGTCACACTGCCGTAATTTCACCATTTTTAAAGAATTCTCCAATCAATTCTGTCTCCCTCAAAAAATTGGAGTTTATACAACAAAAAACCGTTTTGAAATTATTGTTCTCTTGTCACCAAGCAATTCGCACAAAGAATGCGACAATCCACTTCTTAAGCGAGCTCTTTTGAACCTCCCACCGTCCAATTGTAGTGTAAAAACTATGTTTTAAGCAGAGGCCCGCGTATCTTGTGTAACTCGCGTGTGTCAAATGCTAAGTCTTACGAGTTATTCTTCTTTTCTTGCAGGTATAGCTGAGATGATCGTTTGGCTAATGTCCACTTTAACATTTCTCAATTTATTTCCCGATTGCAAAGCCATTCACGTTGCCATTTTTCTTTTATTCCAGCTTTCAGTGTGGGGTACACCTCGCTTATTTTGTGACCTTCTCTTTGGGCACTTTGCGCTGCTTTATCAGCCTCCATATTTAAGGATGTCTCGCATTATCCTCGGACATGGATTTGAGCAGTTTTGAAATGAAAGTCCCATGGCAGAGTAAATGTCATGCACGAAAGGCTTCGAACTAAAGATATATTTTAAGAGTATCTTTTTTATCGTTTTTTCTCACTAGTTTACCTAGCCTAGTTAACCCGTCTGGTGGATTTTGGGGTATTTTAAAATTTATTTTTTATTCCAGAAATCTTTCAAATAGTTGCCATTCTATTGGTCTGTCATGTTGCTCTTGAGGCAGTTGGATCTCCGTTCGTTACTTTTCTGACGTAAATGTAACAGTAAGCCCCTTTTTATGGTATTTCAAACTCTTCAGATCTCACACCTATTGACTTCAAAGCAGGTGCAAGTGGTAATGAAGGTGTTTTTTTTTAAAGTGATACCTTTTGAAATGGTGCGACTTTTCACAGCGACAGAGATGATTTGTGGAGGAAAAAATGTCGACAAAAGCGACGATAACGGGGCCAGAAAAGCCGCTCAAAGTAAACACCTTCTTTCCAGAAAACGGGGTGGACAAATTTTTGTATTTGCACTTCGGTGGGATAATAGGCGGGACGCCTACCTGCTATGATTTACTAGCGGGCGGGTTTTGAAATGTGGCGATTTACAGGTATCGCCTATCCCGCCCTTCAGATTGTCCGCCTATAGAAACGGCACGTGCTTATTTTTAGAATTCAACTTAACAGCCGGACCAAAAATGATGATTTAATGATGATTTATCCTTTTATCACGAACACGAAAACATCCCCAGGCGGTGTTTCATAAGTGAATAATTACTATAACGTACTACCTTTAATGGATTGACTCTTCTTAAAAAATGTACAAAGGTTCCAACTAAGATAAATATGCGTTAAAATTGAATAGTTAGGAATTCAAGAGATGAATTAAGTAATGAATTAATAAATGTTCAAAAACAGCAAACATTTTTGGCAAACTGTTAAAAAATGTAGACCAAATCATATAAACATATTCCTATCAGCCCCGATGATGGGAAAAAGTATTTCCTCAATCATATCCCCCAAAAAAGGAGGACATTAGTTTGTTATAAAATATAAGGCATCCCATACTAGATATTTTATCGGTACGTCACGCTGAGTTTTTGAATATATAATACAGCTACGGCTTAGTAATGATAATGAAATTTATGACATTCTAAAACTTATTCCTCCCGCATGGTGGCTCAACTTATTTAATACCTTATGTGAGGTATTGTTCGAGATAAAAAAAGTTAGTGTCCCGTGCGGGATTCGAACCCACGACCTTCGGCTAAATACGCCGCTGCTCTACCACTTGTGCTATCTTGACTTCGATCCACTCGGACACTAACTTCCCATCTCAACCCCGAACTTCCCATCTTGGGCCACGAAATCTAATGAATTATTTAATACCATTTTAGAAAGCGAACAAATTCCGAAACAGTGATCCAGAGTCTCGTTAACATTAATTGACGAAAAAGGAGAAAAGACGACCCAGCTTCAACCATCCCTATCACTTGTTACAAACTTACTGAAGCAATAAGATTCTACTTATCTCAATTCTCTGTGGAGATGCATGCCTCTCTCAGTCTTATTGTTGGGTCCCCGGAGGCAACGAAAAGGTTGGCCAAAAAGGGAGCCAACATGGACCAGAACTCTACTGCGGCCTAGCAGCCTTCCACAAAAGAGAATACATCTTAAAATGGATCCTTAATGAGTCCAAAACCTGGTGGAACAATACCACATGTATTAGGCACGCGAAGAGATTCATTCCGCAAAACTTACAAAAGAATTACTGGAAGGCAACCGCAACCGAACCAGGATTCTGATTGGACTCCTGACAGGGCACTGCCACTAAAGAAAGTACATGCACCGGATAGGAGTACAAGACGGAAGAAACACTGTGCAGATACTGCCAGGAAGAGGAGGAGTCCGCAGAACACATTTTATGTTTCTGTGAAGGTCTATGTAGGTGCAGGTTCTTGCACCTAGGACACGAAGAATCACAAGCAAGATCCTAACCAAGGAACCGCTGGAAAAGCTGTGGAGGCTGGTTAATAGCCTGAAGCTGGCCAGTGAGTTAATAATTAACAGAGGAGCACGGTAGATCTATTTAGGTCGAGGAGCAGTAGGCCTTGTGGCCGCCTCTCTTATCCCTATCCTTATCCCTAATCTTATTGTTAGTCTTAGTTTTAGTTTCAGTCTTTAGATTCATAATTCTGTTAAATTTGTACCAAATCTTATAACAACAACCCCTATATACATGCAAAATGCCTAAATATACACATATTTACTACATATTTAATACACTATACACTGTTTTATAAAACCC